CAGTCATTGACTGGAGCCACCCTGAATATGGACATTGGACTATAACCTATCGACTATATCTAAAAGGACTTTTGGCAACTAAAAGCTCATCTCTGCTATGTATCTGAACCTCTAGAATTGAATTCAAGTCTGTATGTATATTGATCTTTTAACCAACACTCACTCTCTTTTCTTTTTTAATAAATTTTAGTTTAGTTAATAAGAATTAACTATAGCGTGTATTTTGGGTAAGATCTAAGTTATAATTGAACCTGGGTGTGTGGCTGATCCTTTGGGATTGGAAGAACCATTTATTTTATATGATGAGATAAGATTTTCAGTAATCATCATCATATCTGACGTGTGTGTCTGGGTGGAGGCCTGAGGCTGGGTACTTTAAGGGAACTGCGTTGTTTGGACTTCTGAGTAACCTGTATGATAATATAGAAGTTGTTCTGTGCTGGTTTGGTAAATCTAAGTATTGGAATATCCACCAGCATTTGGGGTTTGTTTGTCCCGTTTTGTTTGCAGTTCACCCTAATTGAGTGACCTCAGCTGGCTATCATGGCCAGCACCGTCACATACCCTAAAAAGTAACTTGGTAAAAATGGCATAATGAGGTTCCATATTAATTGTGTCTCACTGATTTTCACATCAAAACTGAAGTTTGCAAATAAATAAAAAGATGTTTTCCCTTACTACCCACAAATGCAGCCTTGGCTCTAACAGTGAAACTAGGTTATTTCATTCTCATGCATCAACAGCAGTAAGAGAGGTTCTGCAGGCCAAAGTTGGCCCTAAATATGCAACCTTATTAAGGATAATCAGATGACAGAGAGGTATCAGGGATAGCACAATCTGAAGAGAAGAGAGTTACACAGCTATTCCCGAGAGCCCTATTTGACCTACAAGAGCCTGGAACATGCCCTGTCAGGCTTGTTCAGGTCAGGATATGGGGTGGATGTTTGTTGCCCTGGTAAATGACTTCCTACCTGCCACAAAAAAGGGAACCATGTCCATACTTATCCCATGGGATCTTTCAGGGACAGCTAATACTGCTGACCAGCAATCTCTCCTGACCTACCTCCAGGACTTAAATTCAGCCAGAGCTTCCTGAGAGGAGCTCCGGTAAATATTTTCAAACCCGTGGGGCAGAAGCTCCGAATCCGGGTGCCCTCCTCAGGGCTGAAACCCCAAGCCGCGGGGCTCCAGGAAATACTCTATGAGAATTTAAGCCCTGCTTACCTCCAAGAGGCTGCCAGGTGAATGGAAATGCCCTAAAAAGTCTCAGGGCTTTCATCTCTGACAAAGGTTATTTTTTCGACTTCCAGATCCCCCATACAGTGTTCTGAAAAAATCAGTTATCTTCCCTATTCTATTCTATATCCATATAAAGCCATTGGAAGAGGTAGTGAGACAACACAGGCTGGTCCAGCAGTACATAAATGACAGCTGCCTCTCCATTTCTTCGCATCAAATGTAAACTTGCACATTCTCCCAGCAGTCTGTGACTAGTGGACATGGCTGCCTCCCTCTCCCTTTCAGACAGATGGTGAGCAATGAGGCAGGAAGGAATGAGTGTAACTAGCAGTGGGATGTAGGCGAGAGCAATATGAGACATGGCAGCCAAGCAACACCATTGTCGTACTGATACCCAGATCACAGCTTCAAGGGGCAAGCTTCAAAACTTGATCCACATCCACACAGGCTAAAAATACAATTTGGTTCAAAACCAAAGCTGAGTTTCTGAAGCACCCATTTGACATTAAATAAAACACTGGGTATATTCTCTCTATCGGCAGAGTGCGTCCATACTTGGTGCTCTAGTATCGACAATGAGAGCAGTGCACTGTGGGTAGTTATCCCACTGTGCTACTTACCACTTTCTACAGCTAGGACTTTTGGGAAGGCGAAGTGGATCACAGCACATCTTGGGTGTGGGCTCAACATCCCATGTTGCATTATTTTCTGTCCCAGCATTTCATAGTCTTCCAACTGCGTTTCACAGCATTTTTCAATGGCCCCATTTACTGTGCGCCCACCATCTCTGTGTGAAAGGATGGATCCCGCACTGCTCTCAATTGTTGTAGTAACTGTTATTAACACATCGTGGATGATCATGCCGTGTATCACGAGCTCCTAATCTGAACAGGAATCAGAGTTGCCAGACTGCTGTGTGCCACCGAAAGAAATACCAGATTACTTTTGGCGTTCACGGAGCAGCTGCACATGGTGGTCTATCGCTTTTGGGTCAGGAATCAAGCACTGACTGGTGGGATCGTTATGCAGGTCTGGGATGACGAGCAGTGGCTACAGAACTTTTGGATGCAAAAATCCATCTCCCTGGAACTGTGTGTGGAGCTCATCCCAGCCCAGTGGTGCAAGGACACCAAAATAAGAGCTGTCCTCTCAGTGGAGAATACATGGCGATCGCAGTGTGGAAGCTGGAGACTCCTGACTGCTACCAGTCAGTCGTGAATCAGTCTGGAGTCGGGAAGTTGACTGTGGGTGCCGCATTAACACAAGTGTGCAGGGCCATTAATCGCATCATATTATGAAGGACTGTTACTCTTGGCAATGCGCGTGAAATAGTGGATGGGTCTTCAGAAATGGGATTCCCTAACTGTGGTGGAGTGATAGATGGCACACATATCCCAATTTTGGCCCTGGACCATCTTATGACGGAATACATCAATAGAAAGGGGTACTTCTCCATGGTATTGCAGGCTCTTATTGATCACTGCGCGTGTTTCACTGACATCAACGCAGGGTGGTCTAGAAAGGTGTATGATGCTCGCATCTTCAGGAACACTGGCCTGTACAGAAAGCTGCAAGCAGGGATTTTCTTTCCAGACCAGAAGGTTCCAGTGGGGGATGCTGAAATGCCCATAGTGATCCTGGGAGATCCAGCATACCCCTTACTCCCCTGGCTCATGAAGCCTAAAGCCGTGGCTACACTCGAAACTTCAAAGCGCTGTCGCGAGAGCGCTCCCATGGCAGCGCTTTGAAGTGCAAGTGTGGTCGCACAACAGCGCTGGGAGAGAGCTCTCCCAGCGCTGCAGGTACTCCACTTCCATGAGGGGATTAGTTTACAGCGCTGGGGCACTGTTTACACTGGCGCTTTACAGCGCTGTAACTTGCTGCACTCAGGGGGGTGTTTTTTCACACCCCTGAGCGAGAAAGTTGCAGCGCTGAAAAGCGCCAGTGTAGCCAAGCCCTTACACAGGAAACCTGGACAGCAGCAAGGAATGCTTCAACAATAGGCTGAGTAGGTGCAGAATGACCCTGGAATGTGTGTTTGACAGATTAAAAGCGCACTGGCAATGCCTTTATGGCAGATTAGATCTAAGTGAGGAAAACATTCCCATGGTCATAGCTGCCTGCTGCATGCTCCATAATCTTTGTGAGGCTAAGGGTGAGAAGTTTGCCCAGGGGTGGATTGCTGAGGCAGGTCACTTGTCTGCTGATTTTAAGCAGCCTGATACCAGGGTTATTAGAGGGACACAAAGGGGAGGGAGCGGGATTCCAATCAGGAAGGCTTTGAAGCAACATTTTGATAATGAGAACCAGTAATATGTATTTCTAGACAGTCATCTGCCATCCTCCATTAATCTGAGTTTTGTTATTTTGCCTAACACTTGTGATGATTCTTGAGCGGGATTTGCAGTAAGCTAATGATTAAACTGCATGTATATGTTTTACTACCAGTAGCAATCACTAGGTGTAGGACACAAATAAAGTTTGGTTATCTTTTACAGAGTTTGTTTTTATTAAACACCAATTAGCACACACAAAAAGATAGGTGGGAAGGGAGGTAGCATTGCAGGGCAGTGGAGATTTTCATAGCTGTGCATAAGTCCAGCTATAATTTTGGAAGCTGTCTAAAAGGGCGAAGTGAGCGGGATACTGAGATGTTCCGGTAAATTGGAAGGAATGTGTAGGAGAAGTTTGGGAAGGGCATAAAAAACAGTTCTGTATTGGCTGTGTGTGTGTGTGGTGGTGGTGGGTGGGGTAGGGGGGGAACAGACACATCTGTTCTGACTGTAGCGTGATGAGGGACTTCAGCATCTGTTTGCTCCTCCATGACTTTTATCATCTGCTCATGGGCCTTTTGAACATGCTCCGCACCCTCCTTTCTGTCCTGCCTTTCTATTTCTCTCCACTCCCTGCTTTCCCTTTTTTCTGCCTGAGCGGATTGGAGCACCTCACGGAACATGTCCTCCTTGTGCATTCTTGGTCACTTCCTTATATGGCCTAGATGCTCTACCGGGGTGTAGGGGGTTCTCTATAAGGTCACATCTGCAGAAGCACATGAAACAATGCACAGAAGCATGATTGTTAGTTCATGCATAGCATTGAATCATCACAGTAAAATACACTTCTTGTAACATACCAATCACTTTCTCACTGACCCTTGGCAAGCACACATCTTGGCGAACACCCTAAATGTGGTAAGTTCGGCCTGGGTGGGTGGTGGGCATTCAAGCTGGGACAAAGAGCGTAGGTGATGTTTCAGGGGGATCAGTGCAGGTGAGCAGGGACAATATTGAAAATTCTGCCAACGCTTTCCATAAGTGGGGGTCATTGAAGCAGATATTTCACTCCTGAGGGTAAGTAACGATGCAAGGGTGCATCACTGCACACATACAGCTTCAGTCTTGGTCCCTATGTTGCTCGCCTCTGTGCTGATTTGGTCCCTGCACATGTGATTGCCAAGTCGCGCAGGAAAATTTCCTACAATGGGAGAAGGAACAAAGCAGCTCTGCCACCTTTGGCAGAGGATTGGCGAGTACCTCCAGGCTAGTTTCTTAGAGATCTCTCTGGAGGATTCCCGTGAAATCTCGGTGTGCATCAACACACTATTCTGCTGCACTACTTAGTTGCACAGGGGAATGTGGAGCACACTCAAACACAGTTAGTCTTTCACATTTCTATACCTTCACCCCCTTCTACAGTATACAGAGCAAAGGATATCTGTACATCGTATAACCAAGTAGCATCAACTCAAAAAGATCACTTACCAGGGGTCTCCTCTCCTGCATCTTGCTTGCTGGAGACTGACTGCTGGGACTGGCTAGACAACTCCGGAGTGGAGAGTTCCTGACTTGCCGCACCATCAGACGACCCTGCTGTGGGCTCCATATTGTCCTCCAAGTCCACTTCCTCAGCCACGACTTCGTCCTCACGATTAGGTCCATTGTCCACCACCTCCAGTCCCACCAAAATATCCATGGGGCTTTGGGTGGTGGAGGTGGGGAGGCCACCGAGGATGGCATCCAGCTCCTCATAGAAGCGGACGGTCTTCAGCGCAGCACTGGAGCAATGGTTTGCCTCCCTTACCTTCTGGTATGCCTGTCTCAGCTCCTTTATCTTTGCTCACCACTATACCATGTTCTGATCATAGCCCTTATCACACAAGCCATGAGAAATCTGCCCTTCGTGTCAAAGTACCTATGGCTGGAGTGCAGCTGGAACTGCACAACCTCCTCTCCCCATATACTGAGCAGATCCAACAGTTCTGCTGTGGTCCAAGAGGGGGAGCATTTGCCTCGTGGAGCCACCATGGTCAGCTGCAAAGATGAGATGTGAGTTCTCCACACCAAACAGGAAGTGGAATTTCAAAAATTCCTGGGCCTTTAGAAGGGAAGCAGTGGATGCTTGTGCAGGGCAGTGGAGTTCAAACTGCTGACCAGAGCAGTCAGGATGGGCATTATAGAACACCTCCTGGAAGCCATTTACAGCAACAAAACCAAGCATGATGTCTACACTGATTCTTTGTCACTAAAACTTTGCTGCGAAAAGCCCTATGCCTCTCATACAGGTGGTTTTATTTTGTTGCCAAAACAGAAGAATTTTGTCTGCAAAAGTGACATGCCTTTCACTGACAAAACAGTGTAGTGTAAACCAATGGTTTTCACACTTTTTTTCTGGTGACCCAGTTAAAGAAAATTGTTGATGCACATGACCCAATGGAGCTGGGGATGAGGGGTTTGGAGTGTGGGAGGGGGCTCTGGGCTGGGGCAGGGGGTGGGGGTGCAAGAGGGGGTCAGGGTTCTGGGCTGGGGGTGCAGCTCTGGGGTGGAGCCAGGGATGAGAGGTTTGGGGTACAGGAGGGGGCTCTGAGTTTTGGGAGGGCTCAGGGCTCGGGCAGGGGATTGGGGCACAGGCTTACCTTGGGCAGCTCCCGGTCAGTGGCACAATGGGGCTGCTAAGGCAGGCTTCCTGCCTCTCCTGGCACTGGGGATCGTGCTGCGCCCAGGAAGCAGCCAGCAGCAGGTCCGGCTCGTAGGCGAAGGCACGCTAGCCGCTCCCCATGGCTCTTATCAACAGGCACCACCACTCCCAGCTCCCATTGGCTGGTTCCCCGCCAATGGGAGTGCGGAGCCGGTGCTCGAGATGGGGGCAGTGCGCAGAGCCCCGTGGCACCCCCCACCTAGGAGCCGGACCTGCTGCTGGCCGCTTCTGGGGCGCAGCGTGGTGTCAGAACAGGTAGGAACTAGCCAGCCTTAGCCGGCAGCACCGCTGACGACTTTTAACGGCTCGGTTGGCGGTGCTGACCAGAGGCGCTGTAACCCAGTGACTTCCATTCCACGAACCAGTACTGGGTCATGACCCACAGTTTGAAAACCACTGGTGTAGACAAGGCCTTAGTTGATCTAGGATTTTAACTAATTACAACTGTAAACCTCCACCCCCCCCCCATTGAACTGTAACTAATTACAGTTAGTTAATCTAATTACATACTGTTAGTTGATCTAGGGTTAACTAATTACAGGGACATATATAAGGTAATGCTACAGGTTATAGATAAGTGAAGACAATACCATTACTATTGCCTTTGAACTAAACTAACACACAAGTGAACTGGCCTGATTAAAATACAAGACCTTTTGACACTTTGCTTTCTATTAGCAAATGAGTGAATTAGCCTGCAGCCCTGTCCTGAACTGGCACCTAGGTAGACAGAGTCACCCTGTTAACAAGATGAAAGGAAGGAAGTACAGGGCGTGGAGATCTAGTTACACTGGTTTCTAAATGATCTCAGGGTCCGTGCTGCATTTTGGAGACGGATTCAATGTATTGTTTAAGGCTGCGAGTCTTTTATGGAGGTCAGGGATTTCCTGACTTCCACAGCTGCAACCGCTGGTGCAGCTGACCCCAGGGCTGCCCGAGCAGCCTCAGGATCAGTCGCACCGGACGCTGCTCTGGCGGCCCCAGGCTGGTCCCCGCGCTGCAGAGCCAAGGTCCGGGACGCCAACCAAGAGTGGCCAATTATTTTGAGGTGATCCTGGCGGGAGATTTGAATGAGGGCGCGGGCGGGAAACTGTGGCGGCCGCTGGCGCTGCAGTAGGAGGCGATGGGGAGCCTGGGTTCGCTTCCACGCCGCTTGCTGACGCCGGAGAGCGGCGATTCGGGGGCTGACTCGGACCCGGCAGGGGAACCGGCTCTGCCTGGCCCGGGGCTCCCACCGGGGGCTGCCACGCATGTGGCGGTGCCGCCAGCGAGATACCCGGACCTCACCGGGAGTACGGGGGCGGCGGCCGCGCTGGTCCCGGCCGGGCAGCAGCCCCAGGCAGTCCCACTGCCGAGTCCCCCCAGGGAGCGGGGAGACCCGAGGAAGAGCTGCCGGTACCTGCGCGGTGAGAGCAACAGGGCTGGGGGGATTCGCCCGGGAGTTGCTGGGATCTCCCTGCCGGGAGCGGGGCAAAGAGATTCGCTGCCGCTTCCAGCGCTGCCCCGGGGAAACCGTAGCCGCTGTCTGGGCCCCAGCCCTGCACGCCACGCTCGGGCTCTGGGGGTCTGCAGCGCCCGGCACCGGGCATTGACAGCGCCTAGGGCAGCTTCCCCTGGGCCACATGCTCTCCGCAGCGCTGCGGTTCCCTGATTCCGGTCCCAGCACGCCAGCTCCCGGTCCGTGTTGTGCCCCCGCACCGCAGCAAACTAAAAACAGGAGCCGGTGTCACTAAGAGCCAGTTCTCGAGAGGGTGTTTGGTGATCGTTTTTCCCAGTCAGGCACTGGGCAAAGGACGCCTGGCCTCGGTAATAAGACGGCTGTTAGCAGTTAGAGTAATCACCACCGAAACCAAACCGTATCATACATTAATTTGGTATAATTTGGTCTGGATAAATTATATTGCAGGAATCATTCACTGCCTGGCTTATTGGCTGCTAAAGAGGAGAACATCTTAAAAATCTGACTCCGCTGTATGCTGTCTGGTCACTCAGTCTGTTTGCTTCATTGAACTAGACTATTAATTTCCCCTCCAGGTTCTCATGTGTCCCAATACAATAATACCAGAGGATTTTTTTTCAATTAATGATGTCTCTTCTGTGCTAGTTCAAACGGATTTCACTCTAAACCTAAATGTTAAGCCAAATTAAACCCAATGCTTCCTTTAAGTATTGGTTTTTATTTTCCCATAATGTTCTATGTTTTGCCTGCTTTAGACTAGAAGCAGAACTACCAATGTACCTTTATTTTCCATGTAATGTTTATGTGCACTTATGTAACTTTTCTTAGTTTCAGAGCTGTGTTCAAACATCTGGATCTGGAAATGTCTAGCCTGTATGGCTATGGTTACAGTCATCTTGGTTACAATCGTATTGGTTAAAATCTCCCTGGATCTCAGAGGTAAATGCTTTAAGATTGAAGAGGAAAGGGTCTCCGGGAAATGCATTGCCACAAAACTCTTACAAACTACTTTTAAAGCTTACTAATGTGTTAATTTTTAATTAATTAACATTGTTAGTTGTAATCATTTCTAACTTTGTCAGGATCCAATGACAAATATTTGTAGCAAATATATACATCGCCTCAGGGATGCTTCAGAATGTAAGCTTTCCTTTAAAAAAAATAATTGATCTGTCCATCATTGTTCGGGAGAGAGCTTCAGTTATACCTGATTCAGTTTTTCAAGGCTTCAAAACCAGAAAGACTAGAAACATGGGAGCCACTATGCTGTTGCCCTGTACCTGGTATAAGTCACTTGCTTTAATGCAAGGTACATATAGAACACCATCAAATCAACATGGTAATGTTTTACACTGCTCTAAATCAGTGGTTTTCAAACTACGGGTTGCAATTCAGTACTGGGTCGTGGAATGTAAGGCCCTGGGTCACCACACCTCTGGTCAGCACCGCCGACCCGGCTGTTAAAAGTCCCTTCAGCGGTGCTGCTCGGCTAAGGCAGGCTAGTCCCTACCTGTCCTGGCTCCACGCTGTGCCCTGGAAGCAGCCAGCAGCAGGTCCAGCTCCTAGGTCGGGGGGCCACATGGCTCCGCGTGCTGCCCGAGCACTGGTTCCGCACTCGCTGGGGGGGCAGACAGTGTTTGTGGGCGAGGGCCACGCAGAGCTGCTTGCGCGTCTCTGCCTAGGAGCTGGACCTGCTGCTGGCCACTTCTGGAGTGCAGCATGGTCCACAGTGCCAGGAGAGGCAGGAAGCCTGCTGTAGCACTGCCGCTGCACCACGGACTGGGAGCCACCCGAGGTAATCCCATGCTCCAGCCCTGACTCCCCACCCCCCCCCAAAAAAAACCAGAGCCCCCTCCTGCACCCCAAACCTGTCATCCCTGGCCCCACCCCAGAGCCTGCATCCCCAGGCCAGAGCCTGCACCCACTCCCTCACCCCAATCCCCTGCCCCAGCCCAGAGCCCCCCCCATACTCTGAACCCCTCATTCCCAGCCCCACCCCGCAGCTCTCGCCCCCACACCCCAACCTTCTGCCCCAGTCCTGAGCCCCTCCCATACCCCAAACCCATCATCCTCCGCTCCATTGGGTCATGAGCATCACCAATTTTCTTCAACTGGGTCGCCAGAAAAAAAGTTTGAAAACCACCGCTCTAAATGACTACAGAAGGTGCAGGGCAGTGAATTGAGTGCATGTGGTTTTCAAGTGAGTTTAGATCAGAGGTTCCCAAACTGTGGGGCACGCCCCCCTAAGGGGCATGGAGGAACAACTGAGGGGGCCTGGACCAGCTCCCACAGGGAGCGGGAAGGAAGCTCCACCTAGCTCCTCCCCACCCCTAGCTCTGCTCCGGTCCCACCTCCAGTTGTGGCCCCAGCTCCACCTCAGTGCAGCTCCGTTGCCAGCCCCCAGCCTTGGCCAGTGAGTGCAACTTCGTTCTCTGCCTGGGGCCAACGGTGGAGGTGAGGCCAGGAGTGGTGCCGCACCCTGGCTGCAGGCCCGGCTGCCAGCCCTCACTGCACCCTGGCTGCAGGCCCGGCTTGCCACAGCCACGCTCCACCTGGCTGCGGCCCCTGGCCACGGCCCCACCCCAGCTGCAGCCCCAACCTTGGTCCCCTTACTCCTGTCTGTGTCCTGTCCCGCCACTGTCGGAGTCATAGTCCCACTCCCAGGCCTGGTTCGAGGGGCGGGTGCGCAATCCTCAAAAGTTTGAGGGTTGCTGATTTAGATCCTTGAGACTGTCATTGTGGTTTCATAATTTTTAATGTCCATCACCTCCCGCCGAATTGCCGCCGCAGATCACGATCGCGGCGTTTTGGGGGGGGGGGGGTGCTGCTTGGGGTGGCAAAAACCCTGGAGATGGCCTTGCCAGCCTGTTCTTTAAAATCTGCAATGATGGGGATTCTACAACCTCCCTTGCAAGCCTATTGCAGACCATAACTACCCTTTAGTTGGAAAGTTTTTCCTAACAGCTAACCTAAATCTCCCTTGCTTCAGATTAAGACCATTACTTTTTGTCCTATTGTAATGTTGACAGACCCCAGTCATTGGCGGGCGGGATCGAACATGGAGCTTTTGGAGCTTAGTGCATGAGCCTCTACTGCATGACCTAAAAGCCATATGGCTCCTAGATAAGGCTGTACAGCAGGGATCTCAAACTCAAATCACGTGAGGACTAGTACATTGGCCCGAGGGCTGCATCACTGACACCTTTTCATACAAAGATACAAAAGCCCCCACCTCTGCCCCTGGTCCCACCCCCACTCCATCCCTTCCCCAAAGTCCCTGCCCCAACTCTGCCCCCTCCCTGCCCCTATTCCAAACCCTTCCCCAAATCCCCGCCTCTTCTCCGCCTCCTCTCCTGAGCGCACCGTGTCCCCGTTCCTCCTGGAAAGTCCTAAGCGCTGCCAAACAGCTGTTTGGCAGCAGGAAGCGCTGGGAGGTAGGCGGAGGAGCGAGGACGCAGCACGCTCGGGGGAGGAGGGGAGCTATGACGGGCTGCAGGAAATAACTCTGCGGGGCCGCGTATTTGAGACCCCTGCTGTAGAGCAAACTCATTAATATCTCTCTCTAAGTGGTCTCGGTGGCAATAGATGAGACAGAACACCACACCCAGGAGGTGCATGGGTTACAACTACCGTCAGTGGACATGTAGAACAATTGGTCACAGTCCTCTTCAACATATTTGTTGAAGACTGTTATCGGGTCTCCACTCAGTCTTCTTTTCTCAAGACCAAATATGCTAAGTTTTTCAACCTTTCCTCATAGGTCAAGTTTTCTAAACCTTTTATCATTTTTTGTTGCTTTCCTCTGGACTCTCTCCAATTTGTCTGTCTTTCGTGAAATGTGGCACCCAGAACTGGACACCAATATTCCAGTTGAGGCCTTGTTGGTGCTGAATAGAGTGGGACTCTTACCCCCTTTGTCTTGCATGACACTGCCGTTAATAGGCCCCAGAATGATATTAGCCTTTTTCACAAGCATAATGTTTTCATCTTCAGCCTCATCTCTGGGAGGGAAGAGTGTGCTGTGGGGGGGGAGTAATTGAAAATGGTGATCAGCATTTCAGACTACACAAAGGGTTGGAACTATTCTAGCCTTTTCATCAGGAATTTCTTTCTTTTAACTATAGATCGCAAGATATTCCTCCTTGAAGTGTAATTAGCACTTCATGTACAAACATAATTAATTCTCACCTTACCCCTGGGAGACAGGGAAAAGTAATTATCCCCATTTCTCAGACACAGACTGAAAAATAGAAAGGTAAAGCCAGGAATAGAACTCAAATGTTCAAGCCACCAGCCCTGAGCTTGCTTTTTTTTTTTTAAATATGCTGCTAAACTGTTTTTATGAGAGAGCTGTATCTTTCACTACAGCAGTTCCTGGAAGCTTCTCTGTACATTGAGTCTGGGGATTGTATTTTACATCTAATTTTTTTTAATTTATAGTAGCACCTAATTTCCCAACTAATTAGAGCCCTATTTTGCTAGGTTCTGTTCACACACATAGTGAGAGACAGTCCCTGCCCCATAGACCTTACAATCTACATTGAGAAGACAAAGGGTTGGTGGGGACTCCCAGACACAAAGAGGTAAAGTGACTTCCCAAAGGCCATGCAGCAGGTCAGTGGCTGAGCTTGCAATAGAGCTCTAAGTATCCTGATTGCTAGTCTAGTGCCCTGTCCACTAGACCATACTGCCTCGCTGTACTTGTACAGCTCTAAACTTGGCATTTTATCTACTGGTTAATGTACTTCACCAAACAGCAACAAAAATTAGAACTGGTTGGAAAGTGTCACCCTTGGAAATTTTTATCTTTTAATTTCTTTGAAACATAATATTTATTGTGGACCGTTGACACTTTCTGTGAAAATTTTTGTGGTTAAAAACTTCAGACCAATATATGACCTCTTTGAAAAGTTATGAGTAGCTTCAAACAGAAATACAAAGGCAGCTTTAACTATAGTTGTTGCTGCAGTTAGAATATTTCATTTTATTTAGTGACTTATATGTAGGGCCCTACCAAATTCATGGCCATGAAAAACATGTCACGGACAGTGAAATCAGATCTCCCCCATGAAATCTAGCTGTGGGAGGGGAGAGACAAGGATGGGGATGCCCCAGCTGGGGGCTGCTACTGGGCCCCTGGCTCCAGCTGCTAGTCCCCTCTGGGCTGTGGAGAGACGGGACTTACTCTTCCCCTGCACAGCCACTCTCGGGGGGATGATCAGACCCACCTCTGGGTTCCTACCCCAGCTGCAGGAAGCTGTGGGACTGGGCAGCAGCCCCAGAGCTTCCTGCAGCCACAGGAGGTCGCCAGAAGTGGAGGTGGGTCTGATCTCGCCCCCCCCCCACCCCACCACCACCCAAGCGTGGCCATGCCAGGGAAGAGCAAGTCCTGTGCTTCCCCAGCCCAGCTGGGACTAGCAGCTAGGAGCTCCTGGGTGGGGTGCTCCCAGCAACACAGGGGAGATCAGACCCACCTCCACAAACCTCCTCCAGCTGCAGGAAGCTCCAGGAGTGCTGCCTTCAGAGCCCAACCCAGAAGTGAGGGTGGCAATACCATGACCGCCCTACAACACCATTGACCCCCCCACACACACACAATCCCATTTTGGGTCAGAACCCCCGCATATACAACACCATAAATTTCAGATATAAACATCTGAAAATGTGAAATTTTCAAATCCTGTGGCTGTGAAATTGACCAGAATGGACTGTAAATTTGGTAGGGCCCTACTTACATTAAAGCTGTTTACAAAGTACAGATGCATGAACAAGTTTCCCTTACCCCACCTTGGTGGTGTGACATGGATGTTTGGACCACAAAGTAACACTGCCCAAAAGTTTAGGACAAGAAATGAAGAATACAATAACCCACTGAAACTGTAAGGAGAATCTAGGTAGGTAGGTAGGATGTAGTAAATATATTTAAAAAAACAAAATACTCTTGCTGGAAGGTTGCAGTGTAACACTACTTTTATTTTAGATTCCAGAACAATAACACACAGTAACTAAAACCAGAAAGATAAAGCAGGGTGCTTCCAAAGGCCGAGAGGCACAACTCGTCCCACTTTAGGCAGGCAGGCTGGCTGGCTTTAGACTGACTGCTGCTAGGCCCAGATTGCACACTTCCCTAAGAGTCCCCTGCCTGCGATCACGACCCGGAAAACCAGCCTGGGAGATTTAAAGTGACCACTTACAATTTTAACAGTGTTCAATATACAATCTCCTTCCTCATCCCCACCCCCACCCCCAAAAAGAGAAGAAAATGTCTGCTGATTGTCTTCTGTCTGCTAGCCATAGAACGTGTCCCTGCTGTGACTGGAAAGTGCATACCCTGCCCAGGAAGCTGGATGTGGTTCAGAGGGCAATGTTACTATTTTTCCAAAGAAACCCAGGACTGGGATGCCAGTAAGGAGTTTTGCAGTTCTCATAATGCCACACTTGCTGTGATAAAAGAACCATCACAACTGGTGAGAATAAGAAATTTCATTTGATTCTCTCCTAGCAAAGATCTTCATGGAATTACATAATATGGCTGGATCACTTGTGTAGACCTAGATGGGGCTGCAGACGTGGGCATTGGTGGGGGGAAGGACAAGATTCTTGAAAATAAGGGACTGGTCAGATTATTTGAAAATTGAAAACTCAAAAATATAACTTTCAAAACACTACCTGTTGTGGAACCTTGCTGTGGAATTTTATAGTAAAGTGCAGTCTAATGCTAGCAGGAACATACCAAGATGTGCTCTCTATGCAAGCACTCTTTGGCTTCTCTGCTGAGACTACCATGGTGCCAATTCTAGTGGTAGTGCTTTTGGTAATGCGGGCAGCCTGTCTTTCTGAAGTGGACAGAAGTCCATAAAAAGTATTCCAGTAGGCCACCAAAGAGATAAGTGGTAACTTCTGCTCGCTTTGGGTGATCTGTCCTGGATTTACATGTGCGAGCTAGAGGTTAGATGGTATCCTGATGCCTGAGTCATATTGTCTTAAAGTTTGAAAAATAATGTTATGGGGTTTACCATGACGGTCCCTTTTCAAAGTGCAGTTCTGTCTTGAAGAGTGACAGTAAAAATACCAAACCTGGTCTCCATGGTTATTGTGTCTCAGTATCTACAAGATGTTTGTTCTGCCTGCCAGCCCAAAAAATTCCCCTGGGCTCTTTACATCTTTCTGCAGGCCAAACCATGCCCTTGCTAACACCTTGGCAATACCATTGGCCCTAACAGGTTTGCACAAATGTAACTAGCTGCCTCTGCTTTTCAGTCTCTTCCTGAGCATCTGTCCCATCTGCCACATCTACCTACTTCCTCTGGACACCATTGCCCTTCTCCCACAGCACTTCCAAACAATGTCACTTTCATTCTTTCCCATGTTGGTCTATGGAACAGCACTATCCACAGGAGCGGCAGAGGTGGAAGGGGGAGACCAGCGGCCCCTGCTGCCCATTCTCACCATTAGCAGAGTTAGCTCCAGGAATGCACCCTACTATACCCACTATCCTATTCATAATCTAAATCTATAGAGCATAATAGGTACTGATAAGAATATGCTTTCTCCTCCCCCCCCCCCCCCCCCCCACTTACAGGAGACTATTAACTCTTTTAAAGGAAATGAGGATTACTGGCTTGGACTAAGCAAAGGAGGAGAGGGATGGCAGTGGGTGGATGGATCTCCATTTACTAATACCATGTAAGTTATTTCAGCTGTGACTGGCAGGTGTGGGAGATATTGGCATACCTGACTGATCAAACCCAGAAAAAAAATTAAGTTGCTCCCAAAGCAGAGTTGAGGAAGTGTCTGCATGGAATCTTGTTGAAAGTTGGTCAATAGATTTGCAAAACAATTAAAAGACTATGTTGTAGTTGCTGGTTAGTCTTGATTTGTGGAGAGGTCTGTGTGTGTGTACATGTGAAGGAGGGTAGAGCCTATTGGTGGTCCTGTTCCTTATTTGAAATGCCAGATTCACAATGGAATCAACTTTATTCCCATGTTTTCATCCTCTCCAGAATTCAGTTGGAAAATGATGCCCCAAACTTGAACTGTGCTTTCCTTAGCATGAAGCAAGTTGCTACTGTAGACTGCACATCTCTAAGATACTGGATCTGTATCAAAGAGTCCAGATGAGTTTTCTCAATCAGCAATGAAAGGTTTGTTTGATGCAAGTTGCAAATGAAATTTGTCTTCTGTGCTGTGTTGGAAGCATGTCCTCTGGAATGGTGGCTGAAGCATGAAGGGGCATACAAATGTTTAGCATATCTGGCACGTAAATACCTTGCAATGCGAGCTACAGAAGTACCTTGCAAACACCTGTTCTCTCTTTCAGGTGACATTGTAAACAAGAAGTGGGCAGCATTATCTCCTGCAAATGTAAACAAACTTATTTGTGTAACCCCTTTGGGGTTTAGAGAGCATGGCCCCTTTAAATCTTTTTCCTAGGGGGGAGGGGGAAGAGTAAGAAGAAAGGAGGGAAACTCCAGGGGGCAGCGCTGGAACTCCAAGGAGAGGGAGAGGCAGCCTGAAGCCCTGGAAAAGTGAAGCAGAGAGAACCTGCTTGAAGCCTGAGAAGGACAGGGCTGATCGGGGACACCCCAGGACAGGAACCAAGAGGAGCACTGTGCCGGGGGGAATCGCCCGAGAAGGACAAGCTGGAGCTGGACCCAGTATCACTGCTGCCCAGAGCTGCATGGGGCTGTGAGTACTGGGACTTGTGACTCTTCATTGGGAACAAGGAGGGAGGATGTAGCTAGTTAAGTGGGGAGGTGGTCGCTCTGTGTGGCTTTGCAGAGAGCAGCAGAAGAGGGCACCGGAGGGGTTTGTTGGGGGAAAGTTCACTGGCGACTAAGATGACCAGGAGCACCCAAGACTCACCCCTGAACTGGAACTTTGCTAGGGTTACCATCTGTCTGGGTTTTCCCAGACATGTCCGGCTTTTTCAGCGTTAAATGGCCGTCCCGGGGGGATTTCTAATGTCCGGGATTTCCCCCTTCCCCTCATGCAGAGTACGGCTTGGCTGATTGGACGGCTGGGCCTGATTGAAAGCTGCTCGCAGCCACTGGGGCCTCTAGAAGCCAGAGTCCCTCCCCCTCCCACTCTCCCTCCTCCCCCGCAGTGCAGCGCTACAGTGTTTGGCTGCACGTGAAGCTCGCAGCTCTCCCTCGGCCTGGTGGGGGAGGGGGGGGCAGGCAAGGGACAGGGAACGGGGGGGTTAGAGTTGGTCGGGGGTTCTAGGGGGGGCTGTCAGGAGAAGGGGGTGGAGAGAGCGGTTCGGGCAGTCAGGGAGCAGGGAGACTTAGGGGGTGGGGTCCTGGGGGCAGTTAAGGTGGGGGGGGTCTCAGGAGAGGGCAGTCAGGGGACAGGTAGGGGGATTCTGAGGGGGGCAGGAAGTGGGAGGGGGCGGGGCTAGGGCGGCACCCCATGTCCTCTTTTTTGATTGTTGAAATATGGTAACCCTAACTTTGCTCCGGACTCCTGAACTCTGTGTGCAGACACATTGCTCAGTGTCTGCCCTTCCAGACTGTGCTACCACTGGGCCTGTGGGGCCTTGGTTTGGATGCAACCCTGTTCTGCTCCCCCTATATTTCCCCTTGTTGTATTTCTCCTCTCATCCCTCTGTAAATAAATATTTCCCTTTGTTATCTCCATTGTACGATTCCTGTGGGTGGGTGTGTTCACTCTGGGGGTTTGGAACAGGTGCCCCTAGGATGGAAGGGATTTCTCCTGCTGCATTCCTGCGCACGCCTTCTCTTGGCCAGAGCTGCCTGCATAGCAGACTCCATCTTGGTCACGAGGGCGCTAAAGTTACATTTGTCTGAGCGATTGGCTGAACAAGAAATAGGACTGAGTGGACCTGTAGGCTCTAAAGTTTTACATTGTTTTATTTTTGAATGCAATTATTTTTTGTACATAATTCTACATTTCTAAGTTGAGCTTTCATGATAAAGAGATTACACTACAGTACTTGTGTTAGGTGAATTGAAAAATAGTATTTCTTTAGTTTTTTTACAGTGCAAATATTTGTAATACAAATAAATATAAAGTGAGCATTGTACACTTTGTATTCTGTATAGTAAGGAAAATCAATATATTTGAAAATGTAAAAACATCCTAAAATATTTAAATAAATTGTATTCTTTTACGTGTGATTAATTGCACATTTTTTAATCGCTTGGCAGCCCAAGTAAAAATGTTTAAATGTAAAAAAATGATTTTTTAAAAATAAATTAAAATGTTTATTTTAACTCAGATTTTCTCTTTACCCGTTAAGCATTCAAGACTATAAAATAAAGTGACGTTTTGTACTTGACTCTTTAGTTTCCTAATTCTTAATAGACAAAAAATGTATGTATGCAAAATTTGAAATTCTACTAAGTAGTTTCACACTTTAAATGCTCATCATTGCTGACAAGTCCAGGACCACATTAACATCTTTGCTGTGGGGAAAAAGCAAGTAGCAATCAACACCACCCTCCAGTATATTGACCTTCTGCAAGTCAAGAAAACTGAAAAACATTGGCTAAGCAATTCTCTTTCATCAGGGTTTGCTATTTGAAGTCAATGGGACTTCAGATGGCTATTTTTGAAGATGTGGGCCTGTATACAGAAAAAAGTTCACAATAGCTTTGATTATGTATTGGAAGTTAATCAAGACTGGATGCCTTTATGGAAGACATGCTTTAGTCAAATATAAGTTATGGAGCTCAATACAGGGATAACAGGATGAAAGTTAAGGGCTTCTGACATACAGGTGGTCAAACTAGTTTAGATTCTAGTGGTCCCTTCTGGCCTTAAACTCTATGAATCTATGAACTTTGATTACCATGGTAGTCTTAATTATGGCAGACTATTCATGTGAGTAAAATTACCTGCTTATGTGTTTTCATGATTATGGCCTTAATTGTCAATATTTTGTTTTGCCTCTTAGCAATTTTGTAAAATTCTATTGACTCCCTACCAATACCGCCAATTAAAAAAACAAACCACAACATTTATTATTTGCTTTATTATAAATTTTCATCTCAACTTGGCATAGTACAAATGTTTCTATTAGTGTTACAAAGCATCAGTTGAATTAGATCACTTCTTAAAAATCAGATTATTGAAATCACTCCAGACGGGGCTGGGGAGGCTTGGCAGAATTCAATTTTTTTTTACATTTTGACAATATCAATTTTTATTTTTTTAAGGATTTGTATCTATTTTTAAAGTTTCTTGGTTGCCCCAAATTATGGAATTTAAGCATTTTTTTCATTTTTTATTTGAATTTTCATAGTTGTGGGGAAATTAAGGGTGTGTAGCACACAATAAGTTAATGACACTAGATGTTGAGATTTGAAATGGTAAAGCTTCATTTATTTGTAACAAGCCTAATTCAAGAGTGGAAATCAGAGAATTTTGCCCAAAAAGTCTTCAGATCCCACAGCTTGGAGGTTTGAGCTTAAAAAGAAAATTGTGGGCCTTTTGTTACAGGTACTGGAATGCATAATTATTTGCCAGAGCCAGCAGAGGAGTCCCTGGCCATCCTGCTGCTGAACAGCTCTGGCTTAGGGGCAGCAAATGATGCCCCATACTCCCAGCTGGTGAATGAGTCTGCAGGGTGCTCCTTGCATTGCTGCAGTCCCAAGAATACTGAATCCGTATGGGTACAAAATGTAGAGGAGTTTGCAATCCTGGCCTGTTGGAGCAGAGACCATCACAGCCCTGGCTGGGGGGGAGGATGAGTCCCCAGCTGTGGTGAGGCCTCCCTGCTGCTGAACAACTCTAGCCTGGGGGAGGCAGACAGTCCACCATGCTCCTGGCCTTTGAGTGAGGGTGTAAGTGGGACCAAGGATACATGGCTGTGGGCTCAGGATACTGGATCCCTGCGGGCACTAGGGGCATGGGAGCTAATGCACACTGATTACAATCAATGGATATTTTTTTAATTGATTTGTGTCTCAGGTGAAATTGATGTTTACTGACAATTTAAATCAAATCCTTCCAAGCCTAGTGGTGGTCTGACTGTCAATGGGAAGAACTCATCTCCACTGGGAAGGAAGTAACTGGTTTTTCCCCCTGCCATGCTTGTGACTGGTCAGGCATTTGTACAAAGGGTTCCATAGCAGGGACAGAAGGATCTGAATTATTAGATAAGGGTAGGGTGTGTAATGAGGAGTAAGGGCCTGCTCAGAGAGGGACAAATGAGGCCAACTGCCAATGTGGAAGGACCTCCGGTCCTTAGGTGTTATACTTAAGCCTAACAGAAGGGGAAGAAGGCATCTAGAGACCCACCTCCCTTTGAGCCAGTACCATAATCCCAGCATGCGGAAGGGAAAGAGTCAGAGAGAGTTAGTGATCTACTGTGGTGGGGAACTAGTTCAGGAGCCCTCTGAAGAAGTGCCCTTGCCTGTGGGGTAGGGAAGCTCTTTGTAATATAGCTTTAAACCTTTGTAGGACAGTGTTTGGCTCTTCTAGCTGGGATGTGGTTCATTAGGAAAGGGTGCCAGCAGAGGCATCTACAGGGTCCAGAGAAGTGAAGCTGGAAAGCGGGCTAGGCCCAGCTGCTCCTATCACTGGCGAAATCCTGAGCACTACTGCTGCTGTGCTCCCCTGAACCCAGTGGGAAATGGTCAGGTGCAGTCACAGAGAAGTGGCAATGCCAAAGGCCAGTGGAGTAGCTGCTGCTATAGCAAAATTTAGAACGATGGCTAGTGGAGGCTGGGTGCTGCAGACAGGTAGAAGGAGTCTGAGAGGGCTTAAAGGAGAGAATTGTTAAAGAAGTGAGGTAGGACAGAAAAGAGAGAATACATCACTGCAGAGCCTATGAACAGTATGATGGATATAGAGCTAGACAAGCTCTGAAGGGGCAGTGGGTGGGTGCTATACAAATCTGCAAGAAGTTGCCTCTAGAATGTAATGTAGCATGGCTACCTGATGGTTCCTGAATACTATCAATATTTTCTACTGCACTACTGCTAACCATCATAAGAGACAGACAGATCTGAGACTCCCAAATGGATTATTCCATTTAGGTTGGTGCTTAGATAGAAATGTGCTAAATGTTTTATAAATACCTTACTTTGACCCTGATATCTGAAAATATATTTAAGTATTAAATAACTATGCAAATCTCAGATGGTGGATTACATAGGTGATGCATGGGGGGGTATGCAAGGTCAAGTGCCCCCCAGATTTCTGCTCGGCCTCCCAAGGGGGAGAAAGAGAGGGGCTCTGTTCTTCTCCTGCTGCGCCTGCCCCCTGGCACATTCAGTCCCTGGCTCTGGCCACCGGGCCCAGGCTGGGATGGAGCCGCTTATCATGCCAGCTGAGGGTGGCTGCT